ATCAAAATTATAAAGATACCACGCATTGTCATAAAATTACCTCATACTAATTGCATATTGTAAAATGTAATTATAATAAAGGGAAATTCATAAGCAAATTATGCAGATATTTAGCACGTAATTCGCACGCCTAATTTGGAAATTCGCACGAACTTCAACTTTCAACTTTAACAAAAAAATAAATAAATAAATTTATCAAGATATTATTTTAAATAAAAAATCTAAGTTGATGTAAAAAATATAAATTTAATAATAGGTGGCGGGGATCAACCCCAACTCAACATTTTGTCATCCCAAAAAGTCAAAACAATTTTTAACTCTTCATGATCCCTATACAAATTTTTTAGGCGAATTTCACAACGGATAAAAAAATCTTAACTTCATAAATTATAATTTTTAATCAATTTATATTTTTTACATCAACTTAGATTTTTTATTCAGAATAAAATTGTTGATCAATTTATTTATTCATTTTTTTTTTTTAGTGGAAGGAATCGACAGCGGTCATGCGAATTTCCAAACCAGCCGTTCGAAGGCGAGCGAACTCACAGAAAATATCTGCATAATTTGCTTATGGACTTTCCTTTTGGGGAGGGGGTGGGGGTTGTTAAAAATCTTGAAAATTAATTTCTCATATTATATATGTTACCCTGTAACAATTAATTAATTTAAATTTTCAACATACATATTAATCCAAGTAGGTACGTATTTTTATAATATGTACGCCTAGTGCCTGAATAGCATAGGTACCTATAAGAAATTAAATCAAAACTTGAAAATAACTTAAAACTTTTCTCACCAATTAATCAGCTATTGTCTATTAACTTAATATTATTACCAATAATCGATTTTTAAGAGTTTACTTTCTCTTCAACATTAGTTTATTAATACTCTTTTTGCAGAACTTACCGTTAGGTTAAAGACGTTAAAGTATAATATAGTACTTTCGTTGAATTTTATTTGATTTAGAAATTCTTAGCTATTTTAATGTAAATCTCGTTTGTATATCGGTCGTGCATTTATAGATTGCGGAATGGACGAATATATTAAAATAACCATATATATAGAATTCGTACATGCAGCGGAAATTTCTTATCGCTTATAAGTTAAGTAGGTACATAAAATAGATATGCAAAATAAATTACTCTGAAGTGATTTTAGAACAAAACACAGACATTATAAAAACAAAATAAAATTATTTTCGATGCCATCACCTCCTTTTTTAATCATAAAATATGCTTCGTAAAATGCTAAAAAACATTTAAACTTAAATATTACTATTAACATCAATTTGAAATTTTTTTAGTATTATACAAAGCATATTTTATGACAAAAAACGAGGTGTATTTTAAATCTTGTTTTCTGATGTGCCTGTATAATACATTTCCAAATTCATAATTGACGTATCCTTCAGAATTTCAAAACCGTATAGTGTAGTTATTACAAAACATTGATCAAGATGTGTCTGATTCTTCATTTATTAAATTTGTTTTTTTGTATTTGTTCATTAAAACTACCTCTAGGTATTTTTCAATTCGCATCACAAATGGATAGTAGGGATCTCATATGATCTATTTATCTATATGTATATGTCACTATATACATAATGATACTACCCCCCCCCCTTCACCAATAGGAAATTGGTAATCGCGTAAAACTACGAAATTTGTTTTCATTTTTCTATGAATCAAACCGATGATTGTGTACGTCGCAATTGACTGAGTAACCACTGCGCCAATCCAATCCCATATTTATTTAATGGCTTGAATAAAATATTATAAAATAATTTTATTTTCCACTCCATGATTTTTTAGCATTTTCTATATTTTAAATACGTTATCTTACGAAAAATTATCAATATTGACATATATTTGTCCTATAACATTTATAATTAATTTGAATTATTTCAGCTGTTATCTTCTTTATTTTTTGTATCAATATTTTAAATTAAACTTAAATTATGGTACCCAAACATTTTTTTTTATATGTTATAACTGGGGCTAGGATTTATATGCATTGGTATGTTTTTTTTGCAACTTCTGATTACTTATTTTGTAAGTGATGTCCACGAATTAGCCCTTGCTGAGGTAAATGTTGATATTTTTATTTGTCATATTTTTGCATATTTTGAACAAAATGATTTTTTTATACATTTCGACTACAAAAACACAAAAAGTGCATGTTTTATATTATATTTCATTACAATTTTGAAATCGTTGACAAACACCAAATCTAAACTTGGCCAAAACAAAGGATCTCTGAAAAATCCACAAAAAATATAAAAATGTGTTAGAAAAAAATACCGGACTAAAATCTATGTTTACGATACGTAATATTTTAAATGGCAACGATGTAGATGAAAATTTTCCAAATCTTACTCCTGGGAAAGTTACAAAATTTAAATAAGCAAAAATTATGTCATGTGACGTCGAACGGAGTTTTAGCAAATATAAAAACATACTAAGGTCAAACAGAAGATCGATCATTTTTGAAAATTTAAAACATCATGTGATTGTTTCATGTAATTCATTTGAGTAGCTTTATCAATTTTATATCAATTAATGTTTTAGAGATTTTAAGATCTTAGAATTTTTGAAATATTTTATGTTTTAAGTGTTTGACATATTTATTTTTATTAATTGGTATTTAAAAAAAATTTATAGAAAATATGTTTTTTAAATAATATTTGTTTGGTTTATTTAAGCATATTTTTATTGCATATTTTTGCATATTTTTAATAAACCAAATGCATATTTAATCATTTTTTATTGCATATAAATCCTAGCCCTAGTTATAACGATAGAGTTTGTTTTTCTAAAAAATAATTTAAAACTTTTAAATTGAAGCGGATGTTATTAAGTACCCAATCATTAATCATTATATAATAATACAAACAGTGTTTCACCGTTTTCGTACCTGCGTTTATTCCAATATTATTAAATTATGAATCCAAAAAATATTCCTGTTTAATGTTAATTTATTAATAGGTAACTTTTATCTTGTAAATACAAATTTGAAATGTATACTTATATTAAATTCAAATTTATTTAATTGATTTTGATAGGGTACCTTATCGTTATATACTATGATATGATTCTATATAAGATAGTAAAGTTGAGATAGTTCTTAATAAATTCAAATATTTTAAAATCCGATAAAGACGATATTAAATATTTTTATATAGGGACGATATATTTTTTTTTTTTTGAACATCTTTCGTACTTTACACAGAATCAAAAATAATTAAAACTGTTAGAAATGCATCAATGTTTATTGGAACTCTACTTCATGAAAAATAAAAAATAAACTCTAACAGGGCGGAAAACAGTTTTGGTCTACCAAATAATATTCGTACTCAATAGGTATATATATATAATAATACAACTTAAATTAAATTCTTATATAACTGAACATGTATTGGTGTTAAGTAAAAATTACCACTTCTTAGAAATTGGGTGTGAAATTCCGAAATTATCGTATGAATTTAAAATTTAAATGCATCAATATTTTCTTATTATAATGGTTCACGGCAGTGTTCGAGGTGCCAAATTTATAAAAAGCTCATGAGACATAATTCTAAGGTAAAATATTGCGATCAATCATATAGTTTTATCTATATCGATGCCTTAAAATTAAATGAATTGAATATTTGACTTTAATTAATACATCAAGCTTTTTATGTTGAATATTATGTTTTGTGTGGAATATTTAAAGACTCGTGATTTAATATGTATACGGATACGGACTACAAACAAAATAGCTCAACAACTAGTAGACACGTATAATTTTATAAGTAGGGTGGTATGAGCAAATTGGGCTGAATTTCAGAATTCGATTGTGATGTGATTTTATAAATAAAATAGGTATAGGTACTAAATAATATCTAAAAAGCTGGATTTTAGAACAAAATAATACCGTTTCACAAAACATACAAAGCATGTATTAACATAACATTGATAATAAGCTTGTATATTTTATCTATAATTTATAACTATTTTTTCTATAATTGTTTATGTACTCATCTATGTGGCAAAACAAAACGTAAGAAACGTATACAATTTCTAATTATATAATATGATTAGAGGCGTGAATTTTTAATATTCACATTGGTGTAATGTTGGTATACGAAGTATTATACTTTTGGACTTTTGGTATAAAATTGTTTTATAGCGGTTATTGTATAACAAAATATAAATATATTAGTTACTATTATCAGAACATTAATTTGATACTTAAGAATACAATTTACTATGAATAATTGTACGTCATTAAAAATTAAAATTTTTTCTAGCCAATATATCAGAACTATAACATGACTTTAAATATTAATTTAATAATTCTTGTACTAAAGTGGTTGAAAAAAAAATGTTTTCTGCAGTTATTAAGTTTTTTTTAAACTGCAGGCCATAGGTAATGATAAATGAACAATAGTTTTATAACCTGTGTTCAATTTCCGATATATTAAGGTATAATACCATTACAATACCACTAATACCAGTATAATACAGTATTTTACAAATAAAAACAAACCCGTATTTTAACATCTCTAAATACGGTAGTATCACAAAACTCCGGTTCGAATTTCCTATAAATATCATTCATGTTTGGTTTTAGACGAATAACGCCTATATTACAAAAATATAATGAGGACAATATTTTTTATATCTACCATTTAGTTCACATTATTTTCATAAGATTAATATATTATTATGTAGAAGATAATATTCATTATACATATTTTATAATTTGTGAATCGTTGAATAGAAACGGCCTGACATCAAAAATAATGTCCTCTTTTTGTAATAGGTGTAATTCATCTAAAAGCGAATGAAGAAAAATTAATTATCTTGAAAATACCATTGTAAGTTTTGTGATACTTATTATTCACTATAAGACAGAAAGGGGCGGGCAGTAAGTAGTAATGTATTTTAATACATTTATATTTATTATATGACTTCTGAAATCGGAAACAAAATATTGACCGTGCTCTTTGTTTTCAGGATGCACAATATATGCTTTCGGAGTGGGACAGTTTGGATTGGTATCGATTGTCACTCTTTCTACCATAGCGATTGAAAGGTACCTAGTGATCACAGCGAAACCCGTGTCGGGGTCTTGGAAGTTAACACGACAGGGTGCAACGAGAGTAAGTACACAGTACCTACACACTATACAAAATATTAATTTTTTTGTCATCGAATGTAATAATTTACTAATATTATCCTAATATTTCATTGAAATACTAATCCATAAGATATTTTATACAATTATTATTATTTTTATTAAGCAATACTGAAATCAATTTATTGAATGCTTGCGGATACACAAAACATTAGTAGATATTTTAACGCATTATTAACCTGATATCAAACAATTATAGTATACTAAATTACTAAATACTAAATTGCATAGTAACAGCGTAACACATTGCACAAGACGTTTTATTTAACAGTGCGCTTAATATATTCATTTTGACACTAGTGAAAAAAAATGTTCAATGAGTTTAATATTTATATATACATATGAAAATGTGTATTATTTATAATATAAACTGGAGCCATTAATTTAATTTTTTAATGACTATCTTCCAACATTTATCACCCAACGGTTTGCCAATGTTCTATATGTAGTTTCAAAATATATCCTTTTAATTTTTATGGAATTGTTAAAAAAATCTGAAAAATCACGACTATTATAAGTAAAAAGATATTTTACAGAAAAAATCGATAACTTTTTATAAAACTATTTGCTCTTCTCCAAAATTCTTAGATGTTCTTGAATTTTTCGGGTTTTTATTTGATAATAATAAATATTCGCAAATCTAATTTTAAATACTTAAAAATTTAATTTAGTATAATAGTAATAATCTAGGGGAAACTCTGAGCATAAAGAACGACTGGTCTAAAGAAATAAATATACGTATAAACAAATCGGAAAAAACCTTCTACGCATTACTGAAATATCTCAACACAAAAACGCTCTCCAGAAGATCTAAAACGCGATTGTATGTGTTTATTATAAGACCTACATTGACCTACGGATGTAAAGCCTGGACTACAACSGTGACGACGGTAAAGAGGTTAAGAACTTTCGAAAACAGGATATGGCAAAAAATATGTGGCCCTGTGTTTGATGTGAATATGGGATGTTGGCGAAGAAGATTCAATAGAGAACTGCAGGAAATTATGAATCTGGCTCCAGTAACTAACTTCATCAAAGGTCAAAGGATCCAATGGCTAGGTCATATCCTAAGAAGAGAAGAAAACGACCCTGTACGGGTTGCTTACGAGGGGAAACCTAAGGAAAAACGACCAAGGGGACGTCCCACGAAGAGATGGATTGATGGAGTAGCAAATGGGTAGAAATGGGCATAGAAGACCGGCGTGTAATTGCTCAAGACAGAGAAAAGTGGCGGGATATTGTAGTGACGGCTAAAACTCTTAGAGAGTAAAATGGCCAAAAGAAGAAGAAGAAGAAGAAAATAATAATAATAATATTATATTATGCAATCACAAATCATCCATATATTTTGTAAAAAAATAAATTAAAAATTTAGACCTGATAGTTTTTTCTTGTACATAAATTTAAAAAAAAAATTCTACCAATAATTACATATTAATTCACGAATTATTAAGAATGACATATGTTATGTCACCTTATACTTCTATTTTTTGATAAAACGTGTAATATTGAGTTTTAAAATAGGTATAAATAAAAAAATAATATGATTTTCATTTTTGCTTAGTTTATTTGATTATACTTTATACATAACTAACAATAATACGTTTACATCTTATCTTAAACTTGCTTTATTTTTAGGTGTGTGCGTTTGTATGGATATACTGTTTATCAATTACATTGCCACCGATTTTCGGTTGGTCAAAATACGTATTGGAAGGATTCAATACATCATGTTCGTGGGACTATACCACCAGAACCGTTTCAAATCGGTTATTTTACATCTACATGTTGGTACTAGGATTTATTTTGCCGGTCTCCATCATTACATATTGCTATACATTCATTATTGTGTCAATACTCGACCACAATAAAGAAATGGCTGATTGTAACACCAACATAGGACCGTTGGGCACAGGTTAGTGACTTTCTTTTCACGACATTATAATAATATTATATTATACCAATAAAACAAATAATGATTACAAAACATGTATTTTTATTAGATATTTTCTAAATAATATGGATGCTTCACTACTTATGATGATTATAAATAGGGTTAGGGTTTATTATATGCATTGATATGTTTTTTTTTTTTTTTGCAACTTCTGATTACTTATTTTGCTAGTAATGTCCACGAATTAGCTATTGCTGAGGTAAATGGTGGTATTTTTATTTGTCATATTTTGGATAAAATGCATATTTTTGCATATTTTGAACAAAATGATATTTTTATACATTTCGACTACAAAAACATAAAATAAGCGCTTTCAAGTAACTCAGCATTTAAGTACGGCAAAATACCTCAGTAATTCAACAAGAAAAGAAAAAATGAAACAAATATTTATCAAAGACTCATTTGAAAATCAGAACTCAAAATTTTCACTCAATTTATGTCATGCATATTTAGCTTCTGATATACTTATATGGAAATTGCATAATACAACTTTTAATACATTTTTGCAAAAGTATACTGGTAAACATATTCCGGATCAATCTGCAATACGAAAAAAAGTGTATTATTTAGTTCTTTACAATGAAATAATTGACCGTATTCGTAAAGAAATTGGTGAGAGTCCCATTTATATTTCAATTGATGAAACTACAGACGTCGACGGAAGAACGCAGCTAATGTTGTAGTTGGTCTTATGCATGAAGAGAGTTCTAAGTCGTATTTATTGACTTGCGAGGAACTTTAAAAGTGCAATTATCAAACAGTAGAGAAATTATTTCACGTTGCTTTAAATATACTTTGTCCCAGCGACATTAAATATAATTAAGTTTTTTTAGTTTTAATTGACGCTACACCCCATACATGGTGAAAACGGCTAATACACTAACTGTATTATTTCAAAATATGATACATGTGACAAGTGTAGCCCATGGTTAAATTTCATTTGTGTGATATAATAAGATTTGAGTATCCAAATATCGATAATATGATAAATTGTGTGAAAAAATGCTATAGCTTTATTTGAAAATAGAAATATACAAAATGATTTAGCTTATATAAAAAGTAACTTTGGCTTTGTCACTCAATCGATTTTGAAATTATAAAATGCATCACTTTTACTCGATGAGAATTTGGAAATCGTTGAAAACATCAAATCTAAACTTGGCCAAAACAAAGGACCGATCGCTGAAAAAATCCACAAAATAAATAAAAATGTGTTAGAAAAAAATACCGGGCTAAAATCTATGTTTACGATACGTAATATTTTAAATGGCAACAATGTAGATGAAGATTTTTCAAATCTAACTCCTGGAGAAGTTACAAAATTTAGATATGCAAAAATTACGTCATGTGATGTCGAACGGTGTTTTAGCAAATATAAAAACATACTAAAGCCAAACAGAAGATCGCTCATTTTTGAAAATTTAAAACATATCATGCAATTGTTTCATGTAATTCATTTGAGTAGCTTTTATCAATTTTATATCAATTAATATTTTAGAAATTTTAAGATTTTAGGATTTTAAATGTTTTTATATTTTAATTATTTAACATATTTATTTTTATTAATTGGTATTTAAAAAAAAATGTATAGAAAACGTGTTTTTTTTTTTAGGTGTATACAATCTGTTACTTTAGGGACAATAAGAATATGTGATATTAGAACAAATATTTGCATGAAAACTTGATGGGAGGAGTCACCCAGTGGTTACACTACCCTTGTTGATTTTTTTTTTTTACTTTAATTACTCATTGAGAAGATCTCTACACCATTTTCTTCTGAGCCTCCTGGGAGGGTTCCCAGGAATTGTGAGCGTGGCAAGGTTTGAGATGAGAGGGTTGGTATGAGAAGGGAATTTTGAGTGGAAACGCTTGTAAAAAGTTACTGCTTCTTCGTAGACTGTTTTAATTTTTAGATCGGTGTGTAAGGTTAGGTTTGAAATATAAGGAGGAGAATTTGTGATTTTACGAAGGATGTTGTTTTGGAAGGTTTGGATTTTATTAGTGTTGGATTTTTCGGCATTGCACCAGAGTTGAAGATCATAGGTCCACATAGGCTTAAACAAGGATTTATAAATTAATAGTTTAGTATTTAAAGGAGTGTGTTTGTTTTTTGTAATTAGAGTTTTTAGGATACGGAGTTGTGCATTTAAGGCAAGCCTTTTAATTTTTATATGATGTGACCATGTGAGACGACGGTCAATTGTCAGACTTGGGTATTTAGCCGATTGAGAGGAAGGGATTTGAATATTGTCTAGGGATACCATAGGACAGGGAGGAAGACAAAGAGTGAAGGTAGTATTAAGCGATTTGGATTGGTTAAATTTGATACTCCATTTTTTATACCAATCAGCCATTAGGTCGAGGTGGAGTTGTAGATTGAGGGAAGCTATGTGAGGATTATCATGGATGGAAATAATAGCCTTGTCGTAGGCAAACTCCGCAACAGTTGTGTACGGAGAGGTGGGTTGATCGGCAGCGTATATGTTGTATAATAGAGAAGATAGGATGCCCCCCTGTGGAACACCTACACTAATCTTTGCTAGACCAGAAAAAGATGTGCCAACTCTGACCTGAAAGTAACGATCCGTGAGGTAGGATTTGATTAATAAATAATAAGTTGGATGGAATATTGGCTTTATTTTATATAGCAGTGCCAAACCCTATCAAATGCTTGGGATATGTCTAAGAAGGCGCAGGAGCAATACTTTTTTTTTCAAGGTAGAAAGAGATAGCATCGACTAGTCTGTGCATTTGATGTATTGAGGAATGAGAGGAACGAAAACCGAATTGAGTATTTGGTAATATGGAATTGGCAGAAATGTATGGAAGAATTCTTCTAAGAATTAATCTTTCTAAAATTTTGCTGAAGAAGGGGAGGAGACTTATTGGTCGGTAGGAGCAGGAAATGTCAGGAGGCTTATTAGGTTTTGGAACTAGAATAGTTACAGAGAATTTCCAAAGCATGGGAAAATATGACAAGCTCAGACACGCATTATATATAACTGTGAGAAGAACAATGGCTCTTTTGGGGAGAGACCGGGCCACTTCTGCAGTTATCCGGTCGAAAAACGTGTTTTTTAAATAATATTTATTTGGTTTATTTAAACATATTTTTATTGCATATATATCCTAGCACTAATTATAAGTTAAAACAGTAATGATTTTTATATCTTTCTTGATTATCAAATTGACGATGTTAACGTAAACAAATTCGGACAAAAGACGATTTTTAGATCAGCTAAAACCACGAAACTGACACACTTTTCGATCGTCGTTTATAATATTTTTGCGCTTAGAGAAACTATTGAGAAAGTCCTTATTTCTTATTTAATGCATTATTTACACAAGTTTTTGAACATTCTATTAGAGAAAATTGTTTACAGTAAAATGTATATATACATAATATATAAGATTTCATTGTAGATAACTCGATATTCTCAAAACATAATAAAAAATAATGATTGATTCATTTCGGACATTGATTATTTAAAGAATAAAAAGTATTTAATCGTAGATCACAGAAATAATTATTTTAAGTTTATCGGCTACATAATATGTATATAGTAATATAGTATATATCAATATATCTCATACAAGAGCAGGGTACTATATATTGGTTTAGACATGTAAAGAGATACAATTACGGGCTTAGTGTGGCAATGCAGTAACCTATAACTGTAATAGTCTCACCCATAATGATTTTAAAATGAAACTTTTAAAAATCTAAATGATATTCTCACATTATACGTTGAATATTTTTTTGAATAGATTATGTAAAAACTTTGAAAATAGTAAGTTTTAAACGGAAAAGCACATTTTCCATATATAATCGATAACCAGATTATGTACAAAACATTCGCATAAAAAATATTTATTTTAATTAATTTTCCCAAAGTAAGCATAGTATATTTTATAGTATAATGCAATATTTTACTCATAAAAACTTTCTTTTTTTTTTACAGAGAATTGGGATTATAGATTAGCATTAAATGTCACCAGACGAGGTCAAGCGGTACCCATTCGATCTATTCTGAGAACGTCATATATAATCTTAATCCTTATTGGATTATTTATAGCTTCTTGGACTCCGTATGCTATGGTCACGTTTGTTGGTCAATTTGGAGACAGTCAAACAAAGATAGAGCCGTGGATTTCTGCTCTTCCAGCCATATGTGCTAAGGTTTGTCATATGATTTAATGTTAACTTAACTTATTTATATTTACTTTTGTTTATTAGAAATTTTAGCTGTGAAGAAACGTATTATTTTTTTAAAATATGATCATGTTTTTTATTTAATTAATTACTGAAATATTTTTAATAATATTATCTACCTATGGGATATAATTTATAGGTACTTAAATTGTTTTATAATTTAATCAACATTAACAATGTTTTCTGAAAATGATAATTAAGTTTAAACGATAAGTTTAGAGCTTGACATATTACATAATATTAATACAAAATAAAGCCAATGGCTTGAGGCGTAGTGAATGAGTCGAAATAAGTGACCACCACTAATTCCACCCTGGTACCAGGTCTCTTATTTTATTATTTTTAATAATCAATACAGTATATAAGTATAATAGTAACAGCGATACAAACATATAATTTTATGTTCCTATAATAACATACGTTGGTATTTATTTTAAAAAAAAATGTTTAAATATAAATTTATTTTCTCATGGACCACTTAACATTATAATAATATAACATAATATTTTAATTTTAATAATTAACTACCTAACGTATCTAAAAATAATATTGGGCTTATAAAAGTAATTTTAAAAATAATAGTACCAAGCAGCTTAGAATTGATTTTTATTTTATTATAATTTTAACGCGTAGGACGGAAGTATGTACCTATTGTACCTACTTATTCTGTTCAGAATATAAATGTCAAAAAAATTTCATAACATTCAATTCTTTTACAGCTCAACCTAACAAATGATTACATTTCTTTTTTTATCAATTCTAGAACTCCGTAATACTTTTTTACATAAAAAAAACATGTACGACTAAGTTCTTTTTAGTGTTTTAAATATTTTTATTTATATTCCACCCAAGCTTTTTCTATACTGATAATAATGTTCATATTGTTCTTTTTGTTTCTATCTACTAAAAATTACAATTATATAAAATAATAATAATATTTTTGGCATAAATTCGTTCAAGAATAAAATTAGTCTGTTTGCTAGATTAAAAAAAATATTACTGTATAGTTATAACGTATTCTATAATTGATTTACGTTTATGATATTTTAAAATTAATTGAACTATGCGTCATAAAAATTAATTATTCTCATTATATCATTCAGCTGATATTTGATACCTAACAATTGATTAAATTAAAAAATGGTGTTACAACTTATAATACAAATGTAAAGTTATTAAATTGAATTTATTATTTATAAATAATAACTTTTAGGTTGTTATTATAATATTACAGTTAAATTAAGATAAATAATAATGAAATTTGAATAAAAAATAATAATTATAATAAAGTCATTCTAATAACACAATTGTATGTATTATTATACCATAATAGTATAATAGGTTTAATATTACATTCATAGAACTATTATGACGTGTTCTCTCGAATATGTACCTATATATATGATAAATATGACTATCATCACTCATTAGTATATAAGCATAATATAATATGCAAAATTATAATTAATACATTTGTATATAGGCGTACTTACATCATAACAAATTAATGCTACATAATATTATACATCGAATCAATTTAATCCTAAATCCTACAATGATCATCTTATATTATATTGAGCTCATATCGATAATTCATTTACATTTTACTGAAATAATGTTTTTTTTTATTAATAAAAACAACAATATATTTACAATCTGTATACATTTGATACAATAAGTACATTTTATAACATTATTTACAAGGCATGTGAGCGTTATAGAAGGGGGCATCCAGTGACTTTACTTCAATAATACATTTTGATCTTTGATTTTAATATAAGTTTTTTTTATGCTGATTATAAAAGTAAATCACGTGACCAGTTACGTTTAAGGTGGCCAGGAGGATTGTTGGGAATGGTGGCAGAGGAAGGATTAGAAATTAGAGGGTTAGGGTGACTGAAATAATGTTATAACTTTTAATTACATAACTCTGTGGTTAAAACAAGATCCTTGTTTTATGGCATTTATTTACACATAACTTTATTTGTTTTTGAATAATAATATTAAGTTTCACTACATGCCAAATAATTTTATATCTCCAAGGACTGCCTTACTTTAAATAGTTTTTACTTTTTGAATCTATGTAATGAACCAATATTTAGTTAGATTATACTTCAATTTTAAACTTGTCGAAAACTAGAGGCTATTTATTATTCATTCATTGCCACAAAATTAGATATTCAAGAATACTCGTATGTTACACACTTACGCACCAAGTCTTTTATGCGCCCAGCGCCTCATTACATTAACTGTACCTACTGCCTTTTATTTGTGACACATATCTTTGTTTCAACTTTAAAGCTTAATTTAACCACATTTTTTTAAAATATATAATACCAAATTGTTTTTATAATATACATTTCTCACTTTTCTCGCAGCTTGAAAATGTAAACGTCAATCTAATAATATTTAACTATACCTGCATCGGGGAAACCAGACTTTAAAATATAATATTGTAATCGTGACACGTATTTTTATATAAGTCATGGCTTGTAATTATATTGCACATAATTCATAAGCTTTAAAAAATTATAATATAAGGTATCTCGCGAACTACAATAATCGAACGTGCCGTGTATAATATTATATTATTACGCCATATTTTCGCAGGCGTCTGTGGTGTACAATCCCATAGTGTACGGTCTCTCTCATCCACATTTCCGGTCATCAATCCGGAACTACATATCAGGCTGTACGACGGTAGGCCACAGTCACACTGAGCTCTGCACCCCAGGACGTAATCAGCGGTTAGCGACGAACAAGAGCCTGAACCGATTCGCTTTGCTCACCGGACAGGACCGAAATCGAGCGAACGTCGTCGAACTGAAATGTGTTCGTCACCGAAGAATGCCTCCGGACTCGAATTTGATTTGCATGGACTACTACAGCGAACCCGACTGCCGGTGAGTAAAATATACAAAACCTAACATTGAAATGAAAACACAATTTTTTTTTACTTTCAAAATCTGTTCCGTTTAAGGTCTTATTGTAATTATGTGTTTTTAAACTGTAGGAGCTTGACATTGACAATGGAACCAAACCGAGGCTCGGCGATCATCAAAATCGACAAAGTGCCATTTAAAGTCGTCATGTCCACTATCAGAAGTAAAAGCGAAAACGGGAAAATAAACACGAGTGAGTCCATTAACGATAATTATTTTATTTTTTATTCTAGCTACTTGCACTAGGGGTGGGTATAAATATTTTTAAACAATAGATGTTCAATTTACACTTTTATTTAATGATAATTAATAAATATTAAATACATTCCTTCAACATGATAGTGTTATGTTATTATGTTGACACATATAGTGTCCCGTGAGGATTTACCCATTGCGATATCTCCCAATAACCTAACCGTCCTAACCCATGAGGATAAGAACTACAATTATTTCATATTTTAATTTATTTTAATGTTTTGGTAAAAAAGTTAAAAAATTTACTTTTTTATTTAATTATTTCCAAAAAAATTGACCATAGTAATTTTGTAGAGTTTATTTTTCTGAAAATATTGACGTTTCCAAATTGTATTTTCATTAATTTCCTGATTTTTTTTTTTTTTTTTAGTTTCGAGAAAAATTATGAATTATTTAACACCGTAATGTTATCAAACATGTGAGTATGTGACTCACCCCGCCGCGTGCATTCCCATACGGCCGGCCGAATACTTTCCATGTTCCTAATAGTTATAATCATATTTTATTTCTTCAAAACTAGAAAAAATATTAAAAATCRGGAAATTAATAAAAATAAAATTTTGAAACGTCAATATTTTCAGAAAAATAAACTCTACAAAATGGCTATCTTTATTTTTTTTGGAAATATTAAATAAAAAAATATTTTTTTTTACTTTTTTTACAAAAACATTAAAATAAATTAAAAAATGAAATAATTGTAGATCTTATCCCTGTGAATCTTATTATAAAACCAGAATTTTGATATCTCCATTATTTCGTGAGATATCGCCATGGGTAAATCCTCGTGGGACACTCTGTACATTTTATAGGTATATAACAGGAATATCACCACATATTTTTGCATTATCCATTAAAAGTTTTTACTTCTTTCTCRTACCTTTTGCCGCCACCATTCTTTCGTTTTTACCAGTCACACATAATTCGTATTGCACTGTGCCAAATGTTAAATGTTAAATGTTCAATCGCATTTTTACACTAAATACACTTCTGTAACTGACTCGGTAACTCCTTAATGTAAAAAGTTCATAATAAAGTTAATACAAAAATGATTATATAAGATTATCAATGTATCATTCAACTAGGTAACTTAATTTTACCATAGAGTATAGAAAATATAATACCACGGATTTCTAAATAGTTCGTTAACATAAATTGGAGAGAAAATAGTATATAATATTATGAATTGCAATTGTTTAAGATATTAAAAATAATAATTTTATAGGTATTTGATATTTTATAATTAATTTACAATTTTTTTTTTTTTTTTTGTGATTATACGTATAACAATTATAAGTATATCGGCCCGTATAAAAACCGGGCCATCGGGAAGATTCCCGATTACCTGATAGGTCAATCCACCCTTGAATTTATTTTCAACAGAATTTATTTTAGTCTGACACTATTTTACCTAACTATTTAGGTAATTAACAATGACAGTTATTACTGTAATTATATTATTATATAGGTCCACATGCACTGCAGGGGCGGAGGTAAAATTATATTATCTTGCAGTCAGTTGGCTGTGCACCTGCTGTGCTATACTGCCACCACCCGCTATTTAAGGAGTTTTAGTGTAAGAAATTTTAATGAAAGTTTGAGAAGAATTAAAATGTTTTATCTTAAATAAATTTAAATAATAGTACTAAATTACTTAGAGAATTGTAAAAGTGGTAATATGTAAGTATACTAACATTGGTGGTTGAATAATAATGAGATTATACCTAGGTATATGGAAAAAAGGTATCACATGGGTTAAACTTGAATAGGTATATTTTTTACAATAAATGTAACAAATGTTAATCATACTATGCATAGAAGAGAACTTTATCTGTATTGAAGCATTTATTATTGTTTTGATATCAACACTCAACGATTTGTAATAAGCATATAAAAAAAAAATTGTCCAAAAAATAAAATCGCTATGGCTTACATACATTTCTCAAAGGCTACTGTGAAATATATATATATATAATACTATCTCGTTCAGTTTGTCCCATGCAAAACATTTCCATGGATAAATTATTATAAGCTGTGTGGCATCCTCTGATATAGAATATCTTCTACCATTCCACCATCACTGTGTTAAGAATTTTCTAGTTATTGACATAATAAACTATTATTTTTAAGTAAAACAATTTCAGTACCTGGTTATATTATTRCCTAATGTCCATTAACCACCTTACTAGACGATAAATTTATAGTTAGGTATGTTTTAAAATATATAGTACACTGTGGTAAACTGGTAATGTATAAGTAATCACACGGAACACGGTGGTGATAGTGGAATATATAGTATACATTTATTTTACCTCCCTAATTATTAATTAAAATTGTACCTACACGGTATAGCTATGCGTATTGCGCTTTTGTTCAATAAAAGCAAGTGGATGAAAAAAATCCAATTTTGCAAGAGAATAATAATTGTGCATCGAGTAGTAGCCGCGAGTTAGACTGCATTTAACAAAAACTGCAGCATTGTTCATATTGCAGTATCGCAATCAATGCACCCATAATCCTACCTGCCTAACTAATTATCCAAACGCACGCCTTTGTGATCAATTTAATTTCAGTCAACTGTTATAAACGGTTAGTGACTTATAAAATACACGGACGGCGGAATATTATTCTGATTTTTAATAATATTATTGGTGGTGGTAGTATAAAAAAAAATATGACGATAGCTGATAGTTGGAGTGCGTCATCAATAGTGTAGTCCGAGCGCGTTATACTGGCGGTGATAAATAAAAAACCTACTCTTCTCAACCTCGTAGAGGGCTAGGTAAATTGGATCCGATATAAGTTAAGTACATTTTAAAAGCGGTAAATTGAGTCCCGGGAAAAAAAGATTGTAGATCCTGGCTACTAAGTACTAATTAAAAAAATAATATAAAAATCGGAAATTGGATATCACTCTGCTTTACAGTAGGTTACAAGTGGGTTACTGTAATCGATGGAATTAAATAATGAATAAATAAATGATATTATATCATTGTATACGAAAAACGATTCTGAGCGGAGACGGTTTATCTGTCTAGGATATATTATAGATTATTATTACTTATTATTAGGGTAAGGAAGTTATAGGAGCAAATAAAGGCAAAATATGCATGCAAGAAAAAATTATAAAATATGCATAACAAAACGCATGAAAAAATGCGAAATATGCAAAAAAATGTATTCATTTATTAAAAGTGTTATACTTATTTATTATTATACACGAAAACAATTCTAAAAACATATATTTAAAAATTGTATTATTTTAAACTCTTATATGTAAAAAAAAATAAAAAAATATTGCGCATTACCAGTTGGCGTTTGAGATTTTATTGAACTGAAAAAATGTAGTAATTAGTAATTATCTCAGACCTACTTTTTAATTACTATATTCTTAAATACTCGAAGGATGGAACGCCTCAATAAATAAATGTGTTTATATTTTGCGMCCCCCCCCCCCCTTTAAAGTGACTTTGAGTATTAAAATGACCCGTTGTGTTTAATCGTGATAGAATAAAACGCAATATCTTGTAAATGAATTTTTTTTCGTGACTACCAGTGATTTGATTAATTTGGAAATTTGGTATATTTTATCGGATAGATGGTATGAATATCAATAGTGTAGAAGGACAAAGTAATAAACATGATAATAATATTAATCCGTAATTCAAGGCCCCAGCAAGTCATTTGTTAACGTTTCATGATATTACGACTTACGATAGCTATTTAAATTATGATTTGTCACCTTTGTTTATATGTATGTATGCATGCATGTATTAAGTATACTATACATGTCATTCAAATTTCGATGACTCACACATAAATAGTAAGGGTGGCTATTATTATAATAATTTTTGTTTATCATATTAAATTAATTTTAATAACGGATCTAATATAATCAGGTATTTTAAAGAGAGGGCGTAATATTAACGTTTGATTTGTTATTTGACGACATCATCAGTATTTCCATACGAGTATATAATATATTTTTTTATAGAATGGTGAATTCAAACTAATTCCATCCACGTCAAAATGCTAATTGCATCAATATGATTTGTTTTCATCTTTTATAAACCGTACCAAAAAACTGGTAATACAATAAAAGATCTGAAAACATTAAATTTTTTCATGAAATTTACTGATATATAATTGATGACCGTCCAACTTTTTTATTTTTTATATTTCATGTAAGTAATAATAAATGTTTAAGAATTCATTAACTTTTACATTTTAAAATCAAACTAAGAAGGAGGGAGATCAAAATCTGCATTTTAAAGTAGGATGATCTATCTCAATTTAACTCCACAATAAATTTAAATAAGTTTTCAAACTTATCGCATCACTAATTTTATCAGTACGATGCATCGCGGTGTGGACTACTGATAGGGATGTTTTTTTTTTTTTTTTCCTTTCCCTCTGACCCACTTGCATTAAACGAATTTAAGTTCAACTGAATCAATCTTGTATTGTTAATTTTATCACACGTGCTTACAAGACTTTAATACCAGAACTTATCTGTGTTTAAGCATTAGATTTTTACGATAGGTATTTTAATTGTTTTGCAAGTTATGGATATACGAAATATTACAATTTAAAAATATTGTAAAAATTCTAACGTAGGTATAAACATTTGAATTCAAGTTTCATAATAAATGAATTCACTCTTATACTAATATGCTTGCCCTAGTGCTAAACTAACGACACAAGATTGAATTTGCGAAACGCAAATTTTTCATATAATACATTAATACGTGAGTAACGGAGAGAAAAAAAATACTAGTGCGTCGACATCAACTCTGCACTTAACATACGATCCCAACAGTGTTTGTGAACATGGCAGTCGACAGCTCAATCAATATTATAGCCACTTGTTTTTGCAATCCGTTTATCATAATTTGTCACAGATCTCTGTCAAATTGTATTGTACAATTTAAAATTATATGTTATATGGTTGTCAGGTTGTCCATGTCCGTATAGATAAAATTGCGTACCAAATTTAGGAAAAATGTTATAGGGTGATGAGAGGGTGAAAAGCAATATGAAAGACTATGATACTATGATAGACAAATGCGCACAAAAAAATCGATCAGTGTTATATCATGAACATTTTGACATTTTTTAGTTGTTATCATAATTATTAGACTAATCAGTTATGAGTTGAAATGGTTAAAAGAAAAAATTAATAACTAGATTAACATATTTTTTTTAAATTAAAATTATGTGCTTACAAGTTAAAAAGTTTAAATATCATAACTATTTAATATACAGGTATATGTAAGTGGTAGTTAATAAATTCAATATTTTTTTTTTAAGTAACTGAGAAAACAGTTTGTTCCGAAGAATCAACTGAAAATCAAAATGAAGAAGTAAAAAAAAAACAGCATATCTGATCAGTTTGTATTCGATTTTTAATGTTCATAATATACTTAAAAATTTTATTATTTCTAGAATTTAAATTTTAATCAGTGCTAAATAATATTTAGATGTTCATGGTAATAATTTTATCTGTATTGTTAATAAATTATATGATAGAATCAATGTCATTGTAATTTTTGGACTGACCAGGGTCAGTATGTAATAAGAACATAAATAATTATAGATTTAATTTTATCACCCAAATAAATTATATTATTATAGAATTATAATGTCCTAAATTTGTAATATTATGTATAGATATAATGTAAATTCCGTTAAAGCCAAAACATACACACTAACTCTAATGATGATAATATAAGTCGTTAAGTTTAGTTATAATTCATTATTATTAAAATAAATATATATTATTCATTACCATTTCAATAAATGTATATCATTTAAATTAAACTTTCTCTTTGATATTTCATCAAGTTCTATACAAATATAACATAATATTGTAGTAAACTATTTTTTTTCATTCTTTTTAATACTTCAGCATTAAAATTTATATTTTATTTTATTCTTTTTTGAAAAATATAAAATTGTAATTTTATAAAACTGCTATACATTAATTGTTTGTTTTATTTTATCATAATGAATCTTTTGCAATAAATGGAGTACTTGTTATTTTTTTCAACGAAACACTGAAGCAAACAATATATAATATTATATATCTAATGCATCGTATCGTATAAAGTATTGTATTCAAGTATTGTTTAAGATAATACTATAATACACTTTTAAGAGATTGTACCCACGCTGCATGATATGTTAAATATTAATATAAGTAAATAACACTGTTATAACATTAGTATTATTTTATGGAAGGTTGGTGTTTACGAGTAAAACACGCAGGAAACACTCTACAATGTACCTGCAGAACTCATACATGTATTAGGAGATTATTCGCAAGTATACTTTCGGGTGTATAATATAGATGGGTACTCACTCTCCGTTATTTTTTTATTATTATTTTCAACCAAAATCATTTTACATAATTTGAAATGAATAAGTACTTAGGTATTAATTATCAAGACGTGAAGCAACAAGAACTCCACTTGACAGTAAGTATTAAAAAAATAGTATGAAAATGAAAATAACCCTTTGTAAAAGGTGAAATGAATATACATTTTTTCATGTATTAAATATTAATTATAAATTATATCAATTTAAAAGTCCATCAATAAATTAAAATCAACAGCATTTACTGAAAAATGGGAAGAGGTATATGCATTACCATTGGAGAATGGTAAACGAAAATATAACTTGTCTAGTTGGTAATATTAAAAAATAATAAGGTAATGATATTAATCAATCATAATTAAGAACATGATATTATAGCTGCAAGTTATCAGCCAACATATTTAACAGGTAAGATGAGTATTTTATGGTAAAATACCTACTATAAATTTTTTTTGTACATTTTGGAAAGAACTTTTTTAAGTTTCTATCTTAAACTTTGAATATAAAAATAAAGCATTTGTGTTATAATGATAGATTATTTTATCCAGGTATAATTCATTTTATTATTTTAATCATTTKAACTCTAATATAAATTAGGTACTGTCCAACTTTTTGTAGGTATACTATACTACCACAGTGGTTTTTTACATTTCTGAAAGCAAATAGATTTAGTTGGTACTTTTTTGAGAGAAGGAGAGGGGTCAAAAGTAATGGTAGTCACAGTAATTTTCAAAATAATAGTTAAAAAATCATTAGGAACACTGAAATTTCACCCAAAACCAAATTGCGACATAACTGATGTAGTTATTTGATTTTAATTTAAAAATTATTTACTGAAGAAATTTTAATTTTTCACAAATTATTTATATTAGCATTACTTATAGATATGATATATATTTCAAAGTATTTTAATTATTTTTGTGTTTTTAGAAAAATGTGAAATTATCTTATTCCTTTTTTAAGATTTATGTAAGTATGATAMAKTTTTTTTTAAATGTTAAATTTTTGTGAGTAAAAGGTTCCTCATCGTAAGTTCTAAAAATCTATAAAAGATTCAAACGTACAATTTATTATAGGCATTTCAAGTTAAAATTTTAATGAAATTAGATACCTACTTAAACAAARAATTATGATTTTTACAATACATAGAAAAATAAATTACTAATAGTAATTCAAATAAATCAAAAATGTTCTTAGAAATATATGCTGACAGACCGCCTCCACTAGGAATCGTTTTTCATAACTACACAATAGCGAATAATGATATAATATCATTGAATTCAAATTTAACTCACCCGATGAAGATAGGTACTGCGCTCGACACCTGTTATATGGAACCATTACGTTTGACATAGGTAGGTATGTGTGCACAGTCAGAGACATCAATATATTATTATATACAGAAAATAAATATTTTTTTTATATTTAAGGTTGTTGATCACGATATTGGCATTAAAAGTTATCAACTAGGTAGTCGTTTTCACGACATTTGTCACAAACAAAATTTATATTAAAAACAATTTAAATAAAAGTACCTATAGATTCTGATCGAAAATCATAAGAATTAATAATGCATATTATGTAGGTAATACAATAGACGTACAGATATTTATAAACATGCAAAAAAAAACAAATATACAATAAWCATGATATGCATAAAATAAAAAAGTATAATGATTCAAAGCAGGTGTGAATGCGCGTTAAAAATAAATCATTRATCACTAGAATCTGATGATTCGGAAGACGTAACTAAATTTATCGTCACTATGTCTGATACAGTTCCAGCTTCTTCCAACATGTAATCGGTAATGAAATCGAGATTCCAAAGTTGGTCTTCTTCCATAATTGAATWATAGACGTAACTGGCCCACTTATCRGGCGTTACTTGTTTAATCCCATCATTGAGTACTTGACGTACATCGTCCAGCTTAGAACTTGTGCAGTTTTTCGTTCTCGCGTGATTGGCTACAGCCGTCCACGCTGAGTGCATTGGATTTAATTCACAGTGATACGGTGGTAAGCGTAGAACAGCTTTATTGTGATTTATTGCTTCTTGTACACTTCTTCTATAGTTGTCATAGGTAAATCTCATCTGCTTCACTTCTTCAATTAATTGACACTTCACAATCGGCCTGTCGAATACTATGCCTTTATCTTCAAACCATCGTAAAATAAAATTCTTTTTCCAGGACATGGTGGGTACGTAATTTGTTACCGAATGGTATGACGCGTTGTCAAAAACAATAACGGAGTTCTTGTTGAGTAAAGGCAATATATCACAGAACCAGTTATAAAATATGTCACCATCCATATGGTCATTGTAGTTTGGCGTGTTTGCTTTCGACTCATAGCACAGCAGGCCACCCTTTACGAAACCTTCGACTGATCCAATATGCGCGACAATTAACCGTTTGCCTACACCCGAAGGTTCTTTGTCGGCCGATAAATCTTTAGATGGATATTCCCCKACGTTGACCCAAGTCTCTTCCAAGTAATAAATTGTTCTACCTTCATTTCGGTAACGCCGTATATCTTCTAGATATTTTCGACGCCATAGTACAATATCTTCTGTTTCCGTAAGAGCATACGTAGTACCACATTTCGTATATTCGAAATTTAGGTCTTTTAATACGGTTTTTAATGTTTTAAAGTGTAGTGATGGAATTTTTGGATCAGCGTTGATGGCAAGTAATATATTTTTCGAAGTTGGTATTCGACGTCTAAACCAATAACTATGAATTTTTCTGCGAATTGCTAATTTCTCAGAAATGTCAATTTTTTCATTTGCTGTTGCTCGAAATTTTCTTTTTTTTGGTGTTATTGGTTGTCGATCAAAATATTTTCGCAAAGTATTCCTAACAGTAATAACTCCAATGCCAGTTTCTTGCGATAGTATATTCACTAGTTTTGAGAATTTGAGGTCGGGTTCATTTTTAGTTTTATTTTTGAACAAATCTATTAACATTTCCTTTTTTTGGATACTCATAACCTAGAAACAAAAATATGTATATTGTTAATACTTATAATTGGTGTTTTAGTTTTTAAAAATGGTTAGTTAGAAAATCGAAATATAACTTTGATACCCGCCTTTAAAACAGATTTTCTTTGATATTAAATATATTAATTATCTTTGTCTAATATTATTAAAGTTTATAAGCATCAACATTTTTGAAGCTAAGTGTTAATGTTAAGAGGACGCCACACCCGCATGTGTTGTCTCCGTCTTACAAACGTATAACATAGCAAAATCTGTTTAGCGCGGGACAACTTTACTCCCTTTGTATTTATAGAAGAATTACCAAAATTCCACAACGCATAGGTAAGAACTTTATCTGTATCATAGCGTCGTTATTTTTTTGATAACGTCAATATAATTAAAGTTATAAGCTTAAGAAAATACATTTATTTTTTATTTTTTCATTAAATTACTTAAAATTATTGGTTTTTGCTATTAACAAAATAACGACGCTATGACACAGATAAAGTTCTTACCTATGCGTTGTGAAATTTTGAAAATTCTATTATAAATATTGAGGGAGAAAAGTTGTCCCACGCTAAACAGATTTTGTTATGTTATATGTTTGTAAGACGGAGACAACACATACGGGTGTGGCGTCCTCTTAACGCTTTTAATTTAAATTTGGGTTGGCACAGTGTCAATAATTTAATGGTTGAATTTAATCGATTGATCATTTATGTTTTCAACAAACAAAATCCGTTAAAAAAAATGCATTAGTTTTAGTTGATAAGTTACATTATTTTTCAACATTTTATTATTTGCTATTTCTTTGTTGATTTAACTTTTTTTACTAATATAGTTATATTATTATGTATATCAAACAAAAATTTCAGTATTTTATCATTAATACAGGCATGCAATTCAGTTGACGGACCTATTTAAGTGCCTGTATCAATATTTACAACTATTATCAAATATCATTTATATATTCATCAAAGGTGAAAAAGAGCTAAATTAATCTAAAAAGTGAATTATTATCGAAATAAAGATTAAAATTTACCAAATAAAGAAAAAAAAATCGAAGAAAGTATTATTCAAAGTATTCGTTAACGAATGCCATACGAGGGCACTGAATTAATAAGAAATGACGATCAAGTATATGACCATGTGGTAAAGTAGATATTTCGTCTTATCGTCTCGTATCAATATTATTAATATTTAATCACTAATATATAATATTAGGTATAAGTATAAATATATGTTTGGTATACGTAGGTATACTTATTATTTTGTAAATATTACATATTTAAAAACTGTATGAGTTAAACAATAAATTACGAAAAAGTTTTAAAAAAGTATTAAAGAATAGGTAAGAAAATAATATTCATCGTAGTCGTCCTACCCGCTTTCTTCACATATATAATATTATAGGTACCATCTTCAAAAAGAATATTTAAAATAGGTACTCATAACTCACTTAAAAAATTAAACATCATATAAAATCGATCAAGAGAACACAGATTAAGTAGTTATTACACATGTGGGTACGACGTCCTCTTAATATGTCATAAAACATTTACATTTATTTTTTCACAAATTCATATACATATTGACAAATTATACGTATGTACACTATTCTTAGTACCTA